TCAGGTGATCCACATTTGTGACAACATTTTGATTCAGCTGAACACCATTGTAAATTATTGCCTCCAAAGGCATACCCGATCTTGATAATATCATTTAAAAGGTCTGATGATTCAAAATAGAGCATTGCAAAGGGTCATGGCTTGTAGTTGTTAGAACGTGGGATGTAACATGATTTTGCTTTAGTAACAAGTATAATATCGTGCAAATCACGTGCAGATGTTCTAAAAAGAAGATTGGTCAGTTTAATACGGATATTGTTCCTTTGTTTGACTTGATCAGGTGAGAGATCTGCAGGGTATACTCTTATACAATCATTGTAGAGGTAACGTGACCATTGGGTGTAGAATAATTGGATCGACTTAGGATTATCGTAAATAATGTAGGCATGTTGCCACATGCCACAAGTTTGTAATTTAACATTTGTAACATTACCGTATTTGGTAAATATCGAAATGAGGGTGTCCTTTTTTACATTGAGATGAATATCGGTGACATGCAGGGTTCATTGTTAGAATTGTATATTTTCTTTGTAGGATTGATATTCAATAGGCTGATTGATTCCCAAATCAGAAAATTTTATAGAAAAGGCTGAAGTTAGAGTAACTTGATTATCGAAGTAGATGATCAGCGATCTGACAAAATTTACGCGTCAAACATTAGCCTCCTTAAATGCGTCATCGTGAGCGAAAAGACCGTTAATAGTTTTGATAATAGCTGCAGTAGGAAATTCTCGAGCAGATTTTTTGATAGTAGTTGCGTAGGCAAAAGGAGTTGGGCAAGGAATAACAGTGAAATTGAGGTTTTTAGTGTCCATATTGTCATCGTCTTCAATAGGAACATATTCGTTCTTATCCAAAACTTTGGGTGGAGGTGTATCTTTCAAGGGTTGAAAAGTATCTTGGATAATTTCCTCGTCGAGCAGAGAACTATCTATTGGAACGCCACCTAAGAAAGAGGCTACAGGTTCTGGTTGTTTTTCTTTGGGGTCGTAACGAAACTTATTTTTTGGAACAGTTTGTTTTTCAGTTCCAGTTCGTTTGTTACCCATTTTTGGTTTGAAAATTTATGTAAAACTCTTTTGAAATAAAGGTGTTATAAAAGTGAAGAATAGAACTAACTAACAGAGTTACAAAATATTAAAGTAAATAGGTGAAAAAATTTTTTGTTTCCAAAAAATTTGGGAGAGAGAGAAAGAGTTTTTTTTTCTCATTATATAAAAATGTGTCTAACCATATTTATATATAGCACAGAGCGATCTTTGTAGATTGATTTCTCATTGATCTATTGATCTGATTTTGACACTTCAACATGATCACTGCTAGACAAACAAAAAATTCAAACAAAAATACACAAAACAAAAATACTTTTACTGAACTTTTTACTTTAAACGCTCAAAATACTTCACTTCAAACACCTGCTACCTCTTAAATGAAAAACCCAAATAACTTTGATACTGAAACCCCAAACAAATGAAAAAAATTTTCTTCTTCTTCTCCAAATAACTTAGAAAATATTATCGAAAATATTATTCTTACCCCTTTCAACAATCAAACTATCGACTCAGATATATCAGTTATTACCTCTAAAATCTCAAACGAAAATAAAGAAGACTCCATTATGAAAATAGACAACCCACAACCTCTTGTTTTAATTGACCAAAGTACCAATGGCTCCATGTATGCTACCCCCTCAAACTCTTCATCTTCTTCTATATCAAACAATATGGATATACAAACTTCTGATACCAAGGGAAAAAAGAAGTTAACCTGGGATGAAGACTTTGAACCTTACAAACAAATCATCGCCGATAAAAATGATAACATCAACAATAAATCTTTTACCATCATCACATCACCAACGCACTTTTACGTGTTTACAGACATAAAGGATATCACTAGTTCCTCAATTGCAGAAAAACATTACACAATCAACAAACTTTTCAGCTACTTTGAAGGATATAGGGTTGTACTATAATACTAGACAAAGGAAATTCTATATTTACTTTCATATATTAGACTCCTTTACACAAGCAACTGATAAAGTTAAAGAAATTCAACACAACCCAATTTTTTTGGTAATTGATCCTAATGTCAAACAACAACGCAAAGACAATAAAAAGGGCAGATGTATTAAAGTCAATGATATTCCCTTATTTGTAAAATCAAACATTATACAAAACAATTTTGAAAAATATGGAAGGATCTGCAGATTTTTAATGATAACACTTGGTCTATCTTATTAATGGAATTTTCAGTTAGAATTGAACCTACCAACATTAATGAAATTCAAACTGCTCTTCGCCAACAATTTGAACTTAAACTCACTGGATTTTCCTTTAACATCACTCAATTAGATCTCTTTGATTTCTTGATTCAGATCAAAGCAAAATCATGTTTTATTCCAAGAGACTGACAGTATCGTCTTAGACCATATGCATACATTAATTTCGATAATATTGATGATTATGATAATGCTTTTAACTCACAACAAAAATTCAAAAATCGCATCTTATTTTGGGTTACTCCTGGAATCCAACATTGTAACTCATGTGGTTTTCCAGATCAGGAGATCCAATCATTTGATAATTGCTCTCGTCCCAATCTGTTTAAACCTCTTTACAATAGATTCAAACTGGCTCAATACAGACCTAAACTTTTCAAATCTAAACCTAGTATTTCATGTAATTATGAGTCAAATAATCAATCCAAAAGTCCCTCTTATTCTGATTCTATTTAAAATAGAAATAATAATCAAATGAATCAATCGGACAAACAAAACCAAACCCCTTCTCCAACTGTTACCTCTGCTATTAAATCAATGATAGAACAATTGTTATCTTTAGAAAATAAATTTTAATTACTGGAAGATGAATTAATCAAAACAAAGAATGCATACATTGAATTAAAACAAATTCAACTTCATACTATCAACCGGATCGAAACCATTAAAAATCAACTTCATATTAGCAGTCCAACCCCTTTAAATAATACATCATCAAACGATTTTGCTCTCAATGAAAATGATTTTTCCTTTTCAAACGAATTTGTTCCTTTTCAAAATCATTCTCCTATTTTATCACATCCTTCATCCTCATCACGTGACCAAATGATCGACCAACAAGAAAGGCAAATTTCAATGTTACAAAATAATTTCAGCAATGCCAAAAATGATCTCAAAATTATGAAAGACGCTATAATGCAATTTTTACAAATACATTCTAATACTTCTCAATAAATACTTCACAACAATCAAATATATCTCTCTTTCACAGGCTAAGTGAAGAAAATAATAATTCATAACGTTAGAAACTGTATTTCAAACAAAAAAAAAATCAAATTGAACAATTTTTTTCACTTCATAACTTTGACATTCTCAGTCTCTAAGAAACTCATTTGACTATGCAACAATCTTATTCTATTTGCAATAAATTTAAATCACCTGATCTCCCATTTAAATATTTTTTATTAAACAAAAATCATTCCCAAAATTATCAAGGAGTAGGTTTTATTGTCAATTCCTCTATTTCAAAACATATCTTTAATTATTAAGGCTTTTTGATAGAATCATTTTTTATAAATCTTTAAATGAAAAACAAACAAAAACTTTGAATCATTCAAATCTACCTTCCTTCTAATACACATACTACTGCCGATCATCAACATAGATTTAAAATACAACAAAAGATTCTTGATCTAATTTTAGAAGCTAAATCAAAAAATTATCATCATATTGTTATGGGTAATTTTAACATTGATATCAAATACAAATATTCTTCATAAAGACAAAAAAGATACCAGTATTTTCTTACTCAACTTGAAAATCTTAGCTTAATGAACAATTTAAAAATCCTCAATTAATCCTACTCATCAACCTTTTTTTCCACAAACTCCTCCTCTTCCCTTGACTATCTCTTCTCCTCCTCCTCCCTCACTTATGATCTTATCTTTTTAACCTCTTTAAATACTTACTTATATAATTACGAATCTGATTATACTCCCTTGGTTTCTTTCTTTTACAAAAATAATATCTTTCATCAGAAAACTAATGCTTCGCTCAAACAAAAAAAATTGACTAAAACAAAATTTCTGTATGACAAAACTTCTAAAGAAACATGGAATAAGTTCTCATCAAAATTAAACAATTTAATTTTCCAAAACCAATTATTGCACTCTCTCAATGATGATTCTCAAATTTTTTCTCATAATGATCTTAACTCTATTTGGGATTCCTTCAGCTGTACGATTATTCAAGCAGCTAAAAATACTCTTCTTAAACATATTACCACTAACTAAAGATCTACCGACTTCCTATATAATCATCAGTCCTCTTATAATCTCTCAACAAAATCAACAAATTCTATCACCAATGTTACAAAGATTATAATCATAATATGCATTTTAATATAATCAATCACAATAAATATATCACTATTTTTAACCAATTAACAGAGCAAAATATTCCTACCTAAGACATCAAATCTGCATACGATAATAAATCTTTTCCAACATTCCTGACTAGTCTCAAAGAAGCCATCATCTTATATCGATCAAAAATCAAACTTCTGGACAAAATAGAAAATGAACAATATATTGCCTCTTTTATATATCAATGAATAAATAATTTTACTGATAATCCATCAGCAATGATTGATTCCTGCCTCGAAAGAAGAAAAACATCAATTATACTAGATCAAGTCCTCGTAAAAGATGAACAAAATTAACCATTTTTGGAGCTTGACATCTCTAATGTTCTTTCATATACCAGTGATCATTTTCAAAAATTTGCTAATTCCATAAACTCAAATAAAGAATCACATCCTTCTTGAAATCTATGGTAACAACACTACGAAGGTTTAGATTATATTGATGAAAATTGCTACTCCTCACTCTTAGACCTTACTGATTTTAATGAATGGATTCAACTGATCAACTCTTTTCCAAACGATAAAGCTGCTGGACCTTCAGGCATTACTTATGAACTCATCAAACATTTTCATACTAAAGCTTATAAATTGCTCTTCAAAATTTTTCATATTTGTACAATTCTACAAGATATTCCTGCAGGATGGAAATTAGCTTACATTTATCCAATTCCCAAACCCAAACTATGACAATGTGATCTCAATAATACTAGACCAATTACTCTTTTAGAAACAGCAAGAAAAATCTATGTCAAATTCTTAACGAATCGATTATCTAGAATATGTACAAAACATCAAATCCTAAAAGGATTAAACTTTGCTGACCTTCCGCATAACTTAACTATAGATCCACTTCATATATTTAATAATATTCTAGAATCATCTAGATCTGAGGCTCGAAGAAACAAACTTTTAAAGAATCATGCTTCTTTTCAAAATCTATTCATTTTATTTCAAGATATGTTGAAAGCATACGACAGAGTAAATATTTACATGCTTAAAAAAGTCATGTCCTAGCTTAAAATTCCTATTAATTTCATCAATATCATTACCAACCTTTTTACGAACAGGAAGAATAGAGTTTATACACAACATGGTTTATCACCAGAATACGATGTTCTTATTGGTATTGACTAAGGTAAAATCATCTCTCCTCTCTTATGGATCATATATTATAACCTTTATTATATAAAATACAAAAATCGAATCTAGGATACAACTTGTTTCAAACTTGGTTCCCTAATCTCAATAACCCAACTCCAACATCAGACTCTGTTAATATTGCTGCTACTGCTTACATAGATGATACCACTTGGATCTCAAATGACATTTCCAACCTTGAACAGATTATTGATATAGCTGATACTTTCTATCAATTAAATCAGTGATGTGCATTTTATGCTTTCAATGGTAAAAAATTTGATTGGAAGCTTTCAATCCAAATAATTTTATTAATAAATTGTGCTTCCAAACCTTCCAAAAGTGCTTCCAATCTTCCAAGTGTACATCACTGAATTAAACGATATTCAAGTCAACTTAGAAAAATCCTTTGTAATCTTAACGTCACCAAATCAAAATGAAAATATTACTCTTGATCTTCCTACTACCAAAAAATCGATTAGTGTTCCAACATATTACTGATCAGAATTGGTTAGATACTTAGGAGTTTGGATTAGTATTGACAATAACAAAAAATTTATCATTAATCAATTAAAAAATATTATAGATGACTTTATTCTTAAAATTAAATTTAAACCTATGACTGACAAAATGGTTTTATATTTAAATAACGCTGTTCTTATCCCGAGACTAGAATATAGGTCGCAATTAACTCTTCTTTCTAAAGCAGAGTGCAGCAGATTATATGTACCAATTAGATCTGTTATCAAACACAAACTCAGAATGAACAAATGTTTACCAAATAGCATATTTAGACATAATTTAATGTATACTTACAGAGATTTCTATGATGTTCAAACACAAGCAAAATATGATCACTTTATCAAACTGATAAACTAAAATAACCTTACAGCTACTACCTTCAGAATTCGTCTTAGACAAATTCAATTTCAACATCATTTACATGATAATCCATTCATCTCTTGGAACTCATCAAATTCTCCTTCAAAGAATTCCAGTTTTTTAAAAGCTCTCCTAAATAATCTACAGCATTTGAACATCAACTTCACTCAACTGACAAATGATTTATTTTGTATTAAAGGAGGACAAACCCCTTTATCTAATATTATCTCTATAAATAGTCAGGATCTGAGATCCCTAGTTACCTGTCATATTATGTTTCTTGAATAATTAATTGTTAGTAAAGGCCTTTATCTTATGCCATACAGCGATCTCAAATACAAGACCTTTGGGTCTCTTTCTTAAATAAGCAAACTCTCAAACTGGTATCTTAAATTACAACAGAAAGTTGTTGATAATCCTGTTTACACTAATAGACTATTACCACAATTTGTATCTGATATTTCGCATTTATTTGAATTTGTTTCCACTCCAGACCAGAATCAAAAAAGAATAAATTGGACTACTTTCTGGGATAACACTTATCAACAAATAATCATTAGATGTTCAATTAAGATTTCTGCTCAACCACATTTGGCTCTTTTTTATCATTTTAATAGACAAAATCTATTGCAAGACCCCGTTCTCCTTCAAAAAAGCAATATACTTACACAGCATGTCCTGTTTGTCACCATAATTCAAATGATGACAAACTAGATTCCAAATTACCAAATACCTCAGATCTAAAATGTGCCTTCTATGTAAACTATAGTTTGCTAAACATAATTAATATAAATGGCTTAAAAGGAACAAATACAAGATTAATAGATAAAATTTATTTAACTAGAGCTTCTTTATTCACACTTTCCGATCAATCTCTTTTTCTTTATAACAAATTTTATAACATTAGTACCTCTTCACAACTGACTTTAGAATTCTCTAGAAATTTTTCTCATAATACTAATTTTCTAAA